ACCCATTCAGGTATAGAAGTGGCCCTGAGGGCTGAGGGGGTGGGAGATGGGGCCTGGGTGCGGAAGGGGTGGTGGGCTGTGCAGATAGCAGCCAATGATAAGAAAGGGCAAAGGGAAGCAGGTCTGGAACAGCAGCTGGGGTAGGGGTGCTGGGCAACAGGGGTGAAGCCAAGCCTGTATTGAGCACATGCCTGCTTGCTCAAGTGCGGGCTCAGTGCGAAGGCACCCTGCATTCCCCTGAACCCGTGTGTGCTGGAGGGTCTGAACGTGGGAGCCTAGAAGGGGGCAGATTAGCAGATCAGAGGCCTTGCTCCCGATCCCAGCCCTGAGTCTTTCTGAGCTCTGGGCCCTTACCCAGCCGGAGCACCCAGGGGCTGACAGCTGCCCACAGCTGGGTCCAGGTTCTTTCTACACAGTGTGGCATCTGCCTTACTGGGTGACCTGCTCCTTGTGGGGCTGTGGGGGAAGAGAGGTGGTCACCGGTTACCTCCACCTGAGCCCTCATACCCATTACCCTATTTAATCTTTAAAAAAACCCACGAGGCAGGTAATGTTGCCACATCCATGTTGCAGATGAGCATATTGAGGCCGAGAAAGGTTAAACAGAAGCTGGGTCTGGGAAGAGTTAAGGTCTCTACACTCTGAAGCAGGAACCCTCCAGCCCAAGCTAGGGCCTGGCCAGCCCAGCTGCTGACCAGCCGATCCCCTTTCCCACGCCCCATGGTTTCCTGAGGTCAGCAGCTGAGGGGAGGGGGGGTCCTCAGAGCCCCCAGGGACTGGGAAGGCAGGGGGCCCAGGCAGGCCCTTGCTGGGACGGCTGAGCCCTGGATCCCAAGTCCTCATAGCAACTGGACACAAACACAGGCTGGTGGGCGGGTTGGGAGAGGGCTTGGGACCCGCCTCTCCTGTTCTCATTGCCAGGGGTGGGCCAGGCTGCCAGGTCTGGGAGAGTGCTGGCTGTTAATGGGGAGCCTCCTGCCACACTACTGTGTACCTGCCCTGGTGTTGGGCCCTGGTGCCCTGTACGCACAGTGGCAGCCATTCTGAGGAGTGGGCTTCATCCCCCACTTCACAGAGGAGTCTGAGGCTCTGGCTGCACAACAGTGCCCATGAGGCAGGGCTGGCCCCAGGATATCCAGGCCCCAGGGCTCTGGGCCCCTGCACTGTAGTCACTGCCTACCTAGGCTTGGAGGCCAGATGTGCCAGCAGCAAGGACATATAAGATCATCTGCAAATGACCTGAGGGAGGCTTCCCAGTGGGAGGAGGGGTGTGCAGAAGAGAGAGCAGAGGCTGAAAGGTTCCACAGTACCATTCAGGAATGTGCAAATGTTGAAGATTTCTGAGGGACAGCTGTGGTGAGGGGAGGAGGATTTGAGTTGGGGACACTTTGGTGACACACTCAGACTTGCCCAGCTGGCTAGGGCCTAGCTCCTGGCCCCTCGGGCTTCTGGGACCATCCTCTACTACTGCCAGATTCCTCTGCCCAACCCTTGTGGAGCCCAGGGACCCCAGGGTAGGCTTTGGCCCTCTCTGCAGGGCCCTGTAGGGGTGCGAGGTCCACAGTGGGGAAGAGGAAAGATGTGGAGGGAGGTTTCCTTGAGGCCCCAGTCCTTGTGACTGGCCTCAGAACCCTTGCCTCTTCCCAGGGCTCTTCTGCTTAGGCTGGCACCCCGACACTCCTGCCCAGAGGGTCAGCCTGGGCAGAGGTGGGGCAGGGCTTCCTCAGGTGTCAATCTCTACATTTGTGCAGCCAGCCTGTGGCCGGCTAAGCTGTCCCCTAAATCTGCCAGTGCCCCAGGCAGCCTCCCCACCCCCACCCAGAGCAGGAATGCGGGAGGGGCCCCACTCTGGAGCCGTTGCCCCCAAACATAGGCTTGTTTTAGAGACCGCGTTTGCTGTTACACTGTCGTCTCTGCATTAGTCAGGACGCCTGGGTCTCCATGGAAACAGCTGCGGAGCGCGTGACAGCTGTCCGGGTGCCCTCCCCCGCCCCCCCCTCTGTGGGGCGGGGCCAGGACAAGGACGAGGCCCCGCCCCACATCTTTGGCACAAGGTCTTCTCGAGCTGGCTTGTTCCTAGCTTTTGTTTCCTTACCTGCAGTCCTCGTAGGCGTAGCTGGAGCGCGTCCCAAGGGCTGGGGTGCAGGCCTAGGCCACTCCTGCAACATTCTGACCTCAGGCCCCTTCGCTTTCAGGGGTTGGTTCTGCAACTCCAGGGTCGCTGTTAGGATCAGCTACTAACAAGACACAGAATTCACTCATAAGCCTGGTCCTGGATGGGGTTGCAATGCTGTTTTTTCCACTACCCATTGCCTTCCCTTTCTGATTAGGGGTGGGGAAACAGAGCATTCCCCAGCAGCTGAGATTATGGTTGGGACTCTGAGGATTCAGCTCTGCTGAGCTGTGGAGCCATGCACAAAACCTTGGGTGCCCACCTGGCCTATGAACAGCCGGCTACCCAGTGTCTCAGCTGGGGTGGGGGTGGGGGGGAATCAATTCAGAGCCTGGAGTCTTGGGAGGGACTGGGAGCAGGAGAGGACATATCTAAGCACCTCTTCCCCACCACCCACCTTGTCCAGAGCAGCTCTAGACCGATGCATTGGACTCATGAGGCTGGGGGAGCTTCCTGAAGGAAGCAGAGTTTGTCTAGATCAGTGGTTCTCAACCTTCCTAATGCCAGGACCCTTTAATACAGTTCCTCATGTTGTGGTGACCCCCAATTTCACTGTTACAAATTGAACATAATTAAAGCATAGTGATTAATCACAAAAACAATATGTAATTATGTATGTGTTTTCCAATGGTCTTAGGCGACCCCTGTGAAAGGGTCATTCGACTCCCAAAGGGGTCACGACTCACAGGTTGAGAACCGCTGGTCTAGATGAAGTGAGGAGGTCTGTGGGATTGGGGTAAGGTCCAGAAATGGGTGTTTCATGCCTTGTCCTGCAGAGAGGTTTTTACAGCATAGCTGGCAGGCCTGGAGGAGAATAGCAGACATCTGCACTCAGACCTCTCACAGAGGCCTGGGGGGTTGAGGGTGCAGGAATGTTGTGTCCAGGACTGGCTGGGCTCAGGACCTAGAAGGCTCTGGGTCTACACCAGGCTGTCCAGCCTCCCTGACCGCCACCTTCCCCAGGAGATGGAGTTCTACATGCGGACCTTCAGCCATGTGCGCCCAGAGCCCCCTGGCCAGGTCAGGCCTGCTGCAGTGAGTGCCAAGTGAGTGCAATAGGGACATGTGCCAGCTGGACATCTCCCATTGGCATGGCAGGGCCATCTCAGGTGGGAGAAAGGGGGTAGGCCAAGGCCAAGGCAAGGACAGATCAATGCCCATCTGTTTCTGCTGGGAAGGGAGGCTTATATGAGAACCTCCAACTGGCTGGGATTTGAGGGATCATTCACATCCAGAGCTCACCCTCCTGCTCCCCCCTCAGTCTCTCCCGGTTCCCTGTCACCAGTGGCCAAGTGGAGCCTCCACTACCCTCCTCTCCAGAGACTCTGGCTTTGCCCCCCAGGATCCGGCCCCAGGTAGGGGGTACTGTGCTTGGCCCCCGGCCCCGGTGGAAAGGGATGGGAAAGCAGCCTCTACCCTGCCTCACTCCTCTGCCTCTTTTGGCGATGGGGACCTGGGGAAGGGGCACTCAGCCTCCCTTCTGTCTCTGCAGAAAAAGAGGAAGCCGGGTGAGGGCCCTTCCTGACTGGATCCTGCACCGGGAGCTCCGAGGGAAGGAACGGTAGGGGCCCGAGCCAGTAACAGCCCCTAGTCTCACAGTTCCCTCCACCCCCGCAGGGCCCCCGGTCCCGGGCCACCGCTCCAGCTCGTCGTCGGATTCTCGGGGCGCTAGCCCGGTGCTCGTCGCTGGCCCTGCAGGCCCCTCCCACTCGGCGTCAGCGGAGTCCATGGACGAGATTCCCGTGGCTCAGACGCGCCTGGGCAGCGCCGCTCTGGCCGCTCCCGGAGACAGGGGCCGAGAGCCAGGGCTGGAGCTGCAGGCCCGTGTGCCTGCTGTTTTCGTGAGCCCGAGCAGTGGTGAGCCCAGGGCGCGGGGCAGCCCGGAGGCCTGCCTGGCTTAGCTGGGCCGAGAGGCTGAGGAGGAGCGGCTGGCCCGACTCTCTATGCAACACCTCGACCCTTGCCGACCCAGTGCACTGGAGGAGCCCGTAGGGCCGGCGGGGTCGGCCACTCTCCCCACGACTCAGCAATACCCTCCCACCGGCCATGATGCTCCAATAAACTTTTTTATGCTTTTGCGGACTTACAGTATACTTTCTTAACAGCAAGGGCCTGGGGCTCTCCTGGAGTTGGACCATTTCCCGTCCGCCTAGGGGCAGAGGGTGGGGTGGCAACCCAGACTGTCATATGGAGGTAAACGGAAAACGGAGGCGCTCAGGCTCAGGGCTCCTGGTTAGGAAAGATCCTAGAAGGCTGCTTGGAGGAGGTTATTTTTCTTGAAGAGTTTTCACTTGGAGACATGAGGGGAAGAAGGCTTTGCGCTCCGGAGGCAGCCGCGGGAGCAGACCGGGAAGTCCAGGAGCTCCGTCCTGGTGGCGGATGGCCGCGGTGCACCAGGATGCTGGGGCGGGGCACTCTTGATCCCCCCGTTGTCCCCTTTTCCAGTCTCCGGAGTTGTGACCTGAGGATGCCACACGTTAACTGGCGAACCGTGGTCCTGAGCCCGCTCTAGACTCCACTGCCCACTGTCACTGAGGTTAGGGACCCGATCCTCAGCCCTCTATTCTCCCTCCCGGTTGGGGCTTGGGAAGCTGGATCTGTCCTGGAGGCGGAGGCCTGCTTTGAACTTTGGGTGGGGCCCAAAATGGGGGGCGGCTTTCCCATTAGGGAGCCATCCGAGGACGTCCAGACTGCAGAGTGCTGGCCTCCCGGGCTGCGAAGGCCGCGGAGCTGCCGGGGAGCAAACGGAGGAGGCTGTAGCCGCAGCTCCGCCCCTGCGGATCTCGGAGCGCCGATGGGGCGGGGTCCGGTGGGTGGAGCCAGCATGACCTTGGTCAGTCTGCCGAGACAGCCCTGGGGGTGGGACTCGCCGTCTCTATGGAGACCGAGAAACAGGGGATAATACAGCGGAGCCGCCCGGGCTGCAGTCCCGCCCCGGAGCCGGCAGGGAGCAGAGCTGCAGAGCCGCCCGGTCTCCCGCGTCAGTGGGTCCATTCTTGTGTCCTTCGGTCCGTCGAACGCGCACTGCAGGAGCAGCCACGAGGTAGAAGTCGGTAGGAGACCCGGGCGCCGACCACCCTAATCAGTATCCTGCACGATGAGGAAGGGGCTAGGGGTGGGAGCGGCCTGGAAGGGGTCCCAACCCTGGAGGATACGGAGCTGAGGACGCCAGCTGAGCTGCCCTGCCCCGGGCCCGAGCGTTCCGCCCCCTCCCCCCCACCTCCATGTTGGGCTGATTGATGACTCCAGCTGTCCCAGCGGACAAGCTGGTGGCCCCAGTTCACGGGTGTGGCTGCTCCATCCATGGCCTGCAGACCCCTGGGACTAGATAGAACCTGTGACCCGGCTCTATCTGATCAGCCTGAAATGACCAAGAATCCATCTTCCCACGGAAAGGAGTGAGACTGACTGGATGCAGGATCCTGCCAGTCCCCCAGGACAAACGTTCTGTGGGAGGAAAGCTCCCCTAGACCTTACCCTTCATGAACCAAACGCTGGGTCTCTGGTGGGAGGTTGTAGCGTTAGGGAGAGGGAAGGTTAGTGCAGGACTGGGATTGTGGACAGAGTCGCTGCAATGTAGCAGCCCAGAAGCTGCAACTTAGAGATGGATAAATGGTAGCTGAAGAGGGGGCCCAGGCCGTGGTCACTGGAGACTCTAGTATAAAAGGCAGAGTTATAGGATGGTTGCTGAAGATACGACTGTGGTCAGGAGGCTGTAGTGGAGGAGGTGGGTGTGCTTGGGGGGGGGGTGTCTCAACACAGGAGTGGTCTCAATATAGTACCTGGGAGTCTAGAAATGCAAGTCTGTGGGTGTGGACACTGGGGGGCTTCAGTGTAGGGCTGAGATTGTGGCCAGAGATTGTGGGTGTACGGACAAGGGGGGGGCAGTATATGGGTGTGATCAGGGTTGAGGGTGTGTGGAGAGGGGGTTATAAGGCTTTGGTTAGGGTCTCAGAAGGGCTGTGGGTGTGTGGATGGAGGTGGCTGCCGTGCAGGACTGAGGGTGTGGTCAGGGAGGCACCATTACAGGGCTGTGCTAGGTTACACAGTGGAGCACTGCGGGTGTGGTCAGAGGACTGCAGGGGGACTGTGAGGGTGTGGGAGGACCCTTCAGTGCAGGGCTGAGGGTATAATTGGGGAAGTCTTCGATACAGTGCTATTAATATATGTCAAGGGTGAATGCTGAGAGAATGGTCCAAGCCCTCAGTCTCAGGGCTGCGGGTGTGGTCAGGGAGGTCTGAGGACCAGGTGAAGGGTGTAGTCGGGGAATAAGGTTGAGGGTGTGGAGGGCCAGGGCTGAGTACACCAGCTGTGGGAGTCTGGGCTGGTTGGCAGTGCTCAGGGTGTGGTCAAGGGGCCCCAATGGAGGGCTGAAGGTGGGGAAGTATGCTGCAGTGCAGGTGTGAGGATTACAGGGCCAAGGCCACAGTACCACTTGCCAATATGCCTCTAGGGGCTCGTAACTCTACACCCCTACCCTGGGCTAGCCCCCCAATCTCCTGTTCCTCCTAAACTCCACAAATTGGGAGGTTACAGCCCCAATGGGTGGCAAGGGGCCAGGAAGCCATGGCTGTGCCCCAGGCACTGGGAGTGCTGGTGTGCCCCACCCGTTGGCCCCTGTTCCCCAGCCCAGCCCAGCCCAGCCCAGCAGCACTGGGAGCTTCTCCCTGAGCCACTCTGACACCATCCTGCCCTTAGCAACATTCTCCAAGTAGCACCACCTCCCTTAGCAACCGTCTCCAGGCTTCACAAACTGTGGCCAGGCCAGCTCTAGGCTCCTTCTCCCCTCATGTTTTTGTTTAACAGCAAATAGTAACAAGGTCCCGGCTGGGCCAGCTGCACCCCTGCCTAGGGCATGCACCCCTGCCTGTGCTCTGGCTCCCTTCTCAGCCTGGGCTGGGTCTTGCTGGATCCTCATGACCCTGACAAAGACACCGTCCTGACTAGATACTTGCCTAACTAGCAACCTAGCCTGGCCCTGACCCAGCTTGGCATGGAACACCCAGGGAGGGAGGCCTGATCTGCCATCCTCACTTCCACCCAAGCAGGCCTTGTGCCAGGGCCAGACAAAGCCATGGTCCCAGCTGCTGCCCTCACAGTCTTTCTCGACAGTGCCACTCTGTTCCCAGCCTGGTATGGCATCATGATTTCATCTGAACTCCACTCCAAGCCAGGGCTGGCATTAACAATAGGACCTTGCCTCTCGAGGCCCTCCCTCAGGGCTCAGGGGCCCAGGGAGACACTGAGTGCTGGCCCCTCTCCGCTGGCAGCTCCTGCTCCAGCTCTTGAGGGTATGCAGCTTAAATGCCCCCAATTCAGACCTTGCAGGTTTTGAGGTAGTGGCAGTCATGTTCTGTGCCGTGGGGAGGGGAGGAACAGCTTGGCTGGGAAGTGACCAAGGTGGGTCCCTATAGGGTGGCATGGCAGCGAGCACAGACGTGGCTGGGCTGGAGGAGAGCTTCCGCAAGTTTGCCATCCATGGTGACCCCAAGGCCAGTGGGCAAGAGATGAACGGCAAGAACTGGGCCAAGCTATGCAAGGACTGCAAGGTGACTGACGGGAAGGCTGTCACAGGGACTGATGTGGACATCGTCTTCTCCAAAGTCAAGTGAGCTCCCAGGCAATCCCTGCTTCTGATGTTCCCAGAAGGTGGGAGTTGGGGGGGGCTGGAAGCAGGGAGGACATGGAGAAGGGGGAAACTCATGGTGTCCACATACCTGGCAGGGGGAAGTCTGCTCGGGTCATCAACTATGAGGAGTTCAAGAAGGCCCTGGAAGAGCTGGCAATCAAGCGATTCAAGGGGAAGAGCAAGGAGGAAGCCTTCGATGCCATCTGCCAGTTGGTAGCAGGCAAGGAACCAGCCAATGTGGGCGTCACTGTAAGTGCCCTGCTGGTCTCAGGGAGACACTGGGGGGTGTGGGGAATCTCAGCTAGGGGTGGGAAGGGCTGGGATCCCTAACCAGGTGCTCCTGGGGGAACTCTGTCCAAACAGAAAGCAAAAACAGGGGGCGCTGTGGACCGGCTGACTGACACCAGCAAGTACACGGGCTCCCACAAGGAGCGCTTCGACGAGAGCGGCAAGGGCAAGGGCATTGCCGGGCGGCAGGACATCCTGGATGACAGTGGCTATGTGAGTGCCTACAAGAATGCTGGCACCTATGATACTAAGGTGAAGAAGTGATGCCTGGGAAGGCCCCCCGCATGGCTGCCCCGGCCAGAGGCTCAGGCCTGGGCCTAAGGGGCACGTGGAGCAAGAGAGCCCGGTCCCCTCCCTGCTGGACCTGCCATCCAGAGCTTCCTGCCCAGCCCCACAGGCCAGCCCACCAGGCCACTGACCCAGACTGCTCTGTGTCCCCTTCCTCTTTCCTCCATGACTTCTGTCCCTCTGGGGAGAGAGAGTCTGTGCCTATAGCCTCACCGCCCCAACCTAGCCCCGGGCACGGCTAACCCCTGACTGCTTGCCTCATATTTAAGCTGCTGCTCTGGCCAAGTGCCTAATTCTTACCCAGACCTCAATAAAGACACCTTTTGTATCAATGTGGCCTGGTCGGGTATATGACAACGGGGATAATGACATTCACACCCCACTGAGCCCTCGCATTCACTCCCCTGCCTCTCACATTGCTGATCCTTCCACTGGTGGCCCTGCCCCAAAAGACAAACACATCCCTTCCATCAGCACAGAGCGAGGCTGCTGGAGATGCTCCTTAGGGAAATCCAGAGCCTCTTGCCCCAGCCCTGACCCAGAGTCCTAACATCACAACTTGCCTTCCTGCAGTTAGGGCCTCAGTCTCAGCCTCTCTGCTTTCACAGCAGCAGGAGGGATGAGACAGCAGATTTGACCTGGGCCAAGTGTTGGCAGGGGGCCCAGTGCCAGGCCTTGGTCTCAGCCTGCTGACAGGCCCCCACTCCCGGGGGCTACCAAGGCGAGTCATTCTGGGTTCCAGCTTCAGAATATCAGAAAGTGCAGGAAGAACCTTAGGGGGTAGATAGTCTACTTCCCTAATTTTACAGCTGAGGAAACTGAGGCCCAGAGAACAAAGGGGCTTCTGTGGGGAGGGGGCGGGGGGGGGGCAGAACCATGCCCAGCATGATCACCAAAAACGCGACTGGATGGCCAGGGATAGAGCCTGGCACCCAACACCAGCCAGGGGAGCAGAGCATCCAACAGTGAAGGGCCTCTTCCTTGCTGACTCCCTGTTCAACATCCCAGGTTGGGAGGAGGGTGGGGGCTCTCTGGTCCTCTCTAGCTCCTGGGAGTTTCTGGATTAACCTTTTCTTCTCTCTGAGTTATAACAAGGCCAAGGCTTTGGGGCCAACTCTCCTCTTCCTGCTGACAAACAGGCTGGATGGACTGAGTGCCTTCAGAGGAGAGGGCAGCTCCCAAGGGAGCTAGAAAAAGGCTCAAAGGTCCTGCTAACATGACAAAGTAGTGCAACTGCTCATTCCCTCATCCCACAGACTATTCTGGGATGTTCTTGCCCCAGGCTCTATCGCTGGCTATCCAGTCCCATCCTTGAACGCAGTTCTCTTGGGAGTGGGGGATGTAGAGAAATAGTGTGGCTCAGGACAGGGATGCTGGGGAGGGAGGTGGGAATGAAAGGGTGGAGGGTCAACTCCTGGCCACGGGAGAGCCTAGCCTAACAGCTGACAGCTGTGGGCTCCTCCCCATCAGGCTGACCAGTCGCCTCGCACCGTTCAGGGAAGAGTTTCAGAGAGCTCTGCCTCTCCCACCGGTAAAAATGATTCCTCCAGCCTTGGGGAATTTGAATTGTAAGCTTACTTACATGAGCATAATGGGAGTGAAAGCCAAAGCCTTTCACTTGCTAAAATATCCTCTTAGTGAAAAGAATTTAACTGGATTGCAAATTGGTCCAGGCTATTAAGTGATTAAGTGAGAGTACCATCCAACCTGTAGGGGAGCAGCAGCTCAGCCCTCCTGTGACTGGCAGTGTGGCTTAGAGCAGTGGTCGGCAAACTCATTAGTCAACAGAGCTAAATATCAACAGTACAACGATTGAAATTTCTTTTGAGAGCCAAAGTTTTTAAACTTAAACTATATAGGTAGGTACATTGTTATTAACTTAATTAGGGTACTCCTAAGCTGGCCTTTGCTAAAAACGTCCTCAATCTGATTGAGGTACATTCGCTGAGGTCGACCCCTTCCAACTCTCCCATCCACACTCGTCTTGTATACTTGTTTCGTCTATCTCCTTTCCGAAAACCGACTTCTGCGCATGGGCCATGAAGTTTCAATCACACTGTACGTGCGCGCCTGCACATGGTATTTTGTGGAAGAGCCACACTCAAGGGGCCAAAGAGCCGCATGTGGCTCGAGAGCTGCGGTTTGCCGACCACTGGCTTAGAGGAGGAACCCAGAGAGAGAACTGGCTGAGTCCTGAAACTCCACCTTGTAGGAGTAAAGCCCCCTCTTCTGGAAAAGTGGTTGTGGAGCCTGAGGGAAATCAAGGCCCACCTAGAGCCAGGAAGACCCTTAAAGACCAACAGGCCGACCAGTAGAATCTGTTACAAGGCAGTGACTGACCAAACTGCACTTCAACCCTTTAGTTATCACTGCTCTACCCTCCATATCCCCCTCATGGTGGAGAGCTTTGGGTGCCCTTGCTAGCAAAGCCACGTGGGTCATTAAAACCTACATAGAGCTGGTGGGAAGGCCAAACCTGTCCGAGTGGCTCTGCCCCTCCTTTGGGGCACAGCACTGGCCGGAGGACTTGGCCCTGTTTCCTTCTTTCTCCCCATAATGCCAGGCCTTGAGTGAGGAATTCCTCTCCACTATTTTCCAGTTGCTTCCGATCTCCCCTCTCCATGTTGAGTTCACACAGTCCCAACAATTCTTTGGCCCTTCCCTTGACACCTTTAATCCCTACATTTGCCCTGTGGACCAAGTGTCACACAAGGCAAGTGAGAAACACAGTCAACTTCCCCAAATGTGGCCATCAACCCTAGAGAGGTGCCTGGCCTGGGGCATGGCCAGCCACTTGCAGTGACATTAGAAAATATGGTGGAAGGTGACTCTGTCTGGGGCAGGCATTGGACTGCAGTCCTTCGCCCTGTACTCTCTCTGGCTACATTAGCTCTCTGGGCAATCCTGAAGCAGAAACACACCTAGAGCCACTTTCATCATCTCTTCCCATTGATTTTTAAAATGCCCCACCGATCAGAATTAAAAGAAAAATTGTGCCTCTGTCTGAAATACAGAGTACTCATGAGTACAGTGCATGCTGAGCCCAAAGCTAACACCCAGAAGCTGCACCTCTGGTCTAGACTTCACCAGCCTTTTCTCTCTTCTCTCTAGTTCCT